CAAGACGTGTCCAAGACAAGACATGTTCAAAACAAGACATGTCCAAAGCATGTCCAAAACAAGGTGTGTCCAAAACAAGACGCTTCCAAGACAAGACGCTTCCAAAACGAGATGTGTCAAAAACATGACATTTCCATATCAAGACCTGGGTTCCTCCTTTTCACCTGTTGGCTGACTGGAGTCTTGTTTGGGTTTCTTCTCTGCTTTCAGGAAGGCCCAGTTAGGATATCCACATTGCTCTAGAGCCTGTCTTGTGTGGGATTTCTCCTTCTGCCTGGCTCCTGAGCTAGTGGGGATGCTGTCTGCTCTGTGGTACAGAGTCCTGATGACTCCTAACTTGTGCTCCAAAGGGTGATGGGAGTCAAACTGCAAATACTGGTCTGTGTGGGTGGGTTTGCGATACACCTCGGTTTGCAAATGTCCTCTATCAGAGACTGAGACCTCACAGTCCAAGAAAGCCAACCTGCCATTTTTTACATCTTCTCGTGTGAACTTGATGTATTTATCCACAGAGTTGATGTGGTCAGTAAAATGTTGGACTTCCTGAGATTTAATTTTAACCCAGGTGTCGTCAACATACCTGAACCAATGACTTGGTGGTGTCCCTGAAAAGGACGTCAAGGCTCTCTTTTCTACCTCCTCCATGTACAGGTTGGCAACAATAGGAGAAACTTTTATGGGGAGTGGTGGCGCAGAGGTTAGAGAGGTGGGCTTGTGATCCGAAGATCGCCGGTTCACGCCCCGGCCCCGACAACATCAAAATTGTGGGTGGGGTTGGTGAAACACCCACACTTGCCCCCACCCTCATTCGCCGCACTCTGGGCCCATGAGCAAGGCCCTTAACCCCACCATGTGCTCCCTAAAAACAGGTCTCTCTTGCAAATGAGTTCTCGTGGCTCAATGAGACTAACCTGGATAAATAAAGGCTAAATGAAAAAAAAAAAAAACAAAAAACTGGGGACCAATAGTCCAGTCTAGACGTGACAAATGCATGGACCAGTTTTTCTGCATCATCTTTAGATCAGATGTTTCTAATGTTAGTGATATTACGCCGGTGGAAGAAGGAGGTTCTAGTAACGTTTTTAATGTGGGGGATAAAAGACATGTCCTGATCAAAAATAACACCAAGATTTTTAACATTAGAGCTGGAGGACAGATTAATGCATCTAAGGAGGGAGAAAGACTGAAACATTCATTCCTAAGGTGCTCAGGTCCAAAAACCAAAACCTCAGTCTTGTCTGTTCAACAGGAGAAAATTAAGGGTCATCCAGGTTTTTATAATAATAATAATAATAATGAATTTAATTTGTAACGCACTTTTCATTAACAAAAATCTCAAAGTGCTACAGAGTGCAACTAAAATCAATGATAAAATCAACTAAAATCTGTGATAAAATCAACTAAAATCAATGATACAATCAACTAAAATCTGTGATAAAATCAACTAAAATCTGTGATAAAATCAACTAAAATCAATGATACAAACAACTAAAATCAATGATACAATCATGTGGAGGCAGAATAGGCTTGCTTAAAAAGAAAAGTCTTTAAGCCTTTTTTAAAGTCAGTCAATGATTGTGGAGCTCTCAGATATTCAGGGAGGGAGTTCCAGAGGTGGGGGGCAGCCACACAGAATGCCCGATCTCCCATGGTCCTTAATTTAGTTCGTGGAAGGTGGAGGAGATGACTGTTCTGTGATCGTAGGGACCGGGTGGATGAATATGGAACAAGAAGGTCCTTCAGATAATCTGGTGAATTTCCATATAAACACTGATGGGTAATGAGAGCAATTTTGTACTGAATTCTGTAGGTGACAGGAAGCCAGTGGAGGTTATGGAGAATGGGTGTAATATGTTCAAATTTACGAGCTCTCAATAAAATCCTGGCTGCACTGTTTTGAATATATTGAAGCTTCTGAAGGTTTTTGCCGGGGATTCCAGTAAACAGGGAGTTGCAGTAATCGAGCTTGTCTTTAAGACATGCTTGTAGTCTAAGTAGCTGATTGGATTCATTGGGTTTCATGGACAAATATAATTGTGTGTCATCAGCATAACAATGAAAATTTATCCCATGCTGTTTAATAATTTTACCTAATGGAGCATATGTAAGGTAAAGATTATTGTTCCAAACACTGAACCTTGAGGAACTCCATGACATACTTTGGTGTATGAAGAAGATTTATTATTTACATTTACAAACTGGAATCTATCAGATAAATACCAAAGTCCGTGGAACGGAGACTCGTCCTCAGCTGCGCAGCGCGCTGTTTAAACCAACAGTTTTGGGGGACACAGAGACGCCGCGTGCTGTTTGTACTGACAGTTTTACAGCAGGGTGTGTGAGAGGAGAGAGACAGACATATCTCAGCCGCGCTCTGTCTGAACAGGTTATTTTTTTTGGCGGGGGGCGTGGGTGCTAGTACGGGAGAGACAGAAGATGCACATCTGAGCCATGCGCTGTTTGTACCGACGGTTTTCGAGTGGCGGGGGTGCGTTCAGCGTAAGGGTTCAGCATGAAGGAAGAGGCTGCCTTTAGCTTTTTAGCTAGTGCACCTGCATTGAGCTGCTAGTTTAGCGTTACGTCAGTGCAGACAGGTGGGTGGGGTTGGGGTTCGGTAGACGGGGCGTTCAATTCTGTTGACAGGGCAGGGCGCCCTGTTTGTATAATGGTAGGAGAAACACTGCTGTATGAACCTCCTGCCCTATCTGGACCTCCCGTCTTGTCTGGACCTCCCGTCTTGTCTGGACCTCCCGTCC